TATAATCCAGACATTTTGCGCTCTCTCTCTCTCTCTGTCGCTCTCTCTCTCTCTCTCCCTCTCTCTCCTTTTCTCCCTCTCCTCCTCTTCTTCTTTCTGTGTGCATGCCCTTTCTCCCTTTTTCTTCCCTCTCTCTCCACCTCACTAGGCCTCAATCCTTGGGGACCAGTGACCTTACCTCAGAGCAGCTTCCCAATAAACCTGCCTTTAATCTAATCTAATCTGGTTTGAATTGACTCATTTCACCGTCAGAGAAATAACCTATCATCTGGTGTTTGTAGAGACTTTCACAATGTTTGAATTAACAGATTGAGTACGTTGGGTGGTCCTCCCCAGGGGGGATGGCCTCACCCAGACAGTTGAAGGGATTAAGAAACCACCCCACCTCAAGGTGAGAGAGGCTCTTATCCCCCTGGTGGCTTTGGACAGGTTCATTGGTTCTCTTGGGACCCCAGTTCTCAGGCCTTTGTACCCAAACCACACCATCAGCTTTCCACGGCTCCTGGGGCTCCAGCTTTGGGTGCAGAGTGTAGCTGTTGGCACTTGCCAGCTTCTGAGCCAGCCACATGAGCCAGATTTCAACTATAACTGACTCCATGGAAAAGTTTTTCAACTTGAATATGGCACAAAAGTGTACGTTAGAATAACCTACCCTCACAGGTACTGTATCAACTGGCGTCGAATGTTGTTAAATGCTGTTCCAGTAGTGTCAAGTGCTGTCGGGATATGTGGTATTGTCATTTCTATAGCCCAGAAGACCTGCTTTCTATATATAAATGTTTGTTGCCTCCTTACTTGCCCAAAAAGGTGGAAACAGAGTGATCAATGATTCTCCGAGATCATCATGTTAAAAAGCAAGCTGCCCTGGGGGAGGTGACATAGCCCTTAATCTGGCCAAAAGGCAATACTAAGAGATAAACAGGGGTAGTTCTGCTGCTGATTGGTTCAGAGTGTGTAAGCTATGAAACCCCTCCCACTATGCTAATAAGATTTTCCTATCAGGAAGGAGGAGTGGTTTTTGATGAATTAAAGAGCTGGAGCTGGGGGAGGAGCAGAGCAGAGTAGGAAAGAGTGAGACTTGTGGTGAAGACAAGGTAGCAGGGGAGTCTGGATGGCTAGCTCAGGAGACTGTCTCCAGCCGAAAGGCTGACAGGCTTATACTATACTATATAGACAATGTTGATCCAAACATCCGATACCGGGCAGTTTATTTTAGGCATGTTTACATACAGCACAGTTTGCAAACGAAGTTTCCTGGTGGAACACAATCCTGAGTGCACAATAAGGCATAGTTACATTGACACTCTTCTCAAAGTGTCTTGATTATAAACCTCGAGTGGTCCCAGAAGCCCCTCCCCCACAACAGTGTGGGCACATACCCACTGGGTTCTTCACTTTTGGCTTAGTGCTTGAGAGGCTCCACAAGCTAGCCACACTGCACTGCACAGTAACCTTTGGGATATCTTGTCCAGCCAAAGACCAGTGCAAGCATTCATAGTTACGATGGCTGGCAAGGCTGAGCTGGGATGGGTTGGCAGTTTATGTGTAGTCAATGTGTTGATAATATACATGGTATTTTCTCTGTTTTCGAATACCTTAAAAATGTAGTTATTGTTTTTAGCCATTGCATGCATACTGGTACTTTACATTCAAGTCCTTCAACCTCCCTGGCAAAACAGTCCAAACTGCACTGAGCACGCCCAAGCTTGGTAGGCTACACCCATCCATACCCACCCAAATAAAAGGCCAGTGCCATTGACTTCATTCAGGCAGCAGATTTTTGTCTGCTTCATGGAAACCACTGGAATGTACTGCTCTCTCTCCTAAAGTTTGCACCCTTCAGACCAAGCTAATGGGATTTTGTCAAACAGGACTTTGGAAAGCTGGGTCTAGGAAACGCCCTATTACAGTAACACTGTAACAAACAAACAAGACCTTTCCTAGATACCACTGCGAAACGTAACTGCTGATAGCAATGTCAATAAATAACATTTACACAGTGCTTAGCACATGGAATGTGAAAATGTGCCACAACTGCTTTGAAAGCATTTTATAATATTGAAGTTCTAATATGTGTTTGCTATACAAAGGTGTATGTACCCACACAATCATTTCCATGACATGCAGAAACGTAGCGCCCCCAAGACCACACGCTCATATGACACAGAGTCAGGATTTGAACCTAGGCTCTCTAGACCCAGCTTACAGAAAAGAAAAACTAGGGCAATCGATGAGACAGAAAAGCTCAGGCCTGGACCAGGATTCTACTGATGTTCCCAGCCACTGGTTTGCATGCAGCCCTTCTGACCTCTGCAGACAGAAGGGTCTCCCACCACCCACGATGGTGTAGAACATGTTCTGCAGAGGCTTCTTGCAGTCAGCAAGGCTCAGTTCCTGCCACAGCCTCAGTCTAAGGCCACTCCCTCCAAAACTTGGTCTCTGGAAGCCAGTCAGTCCCTAAGATGATCCATGTAGCCCTGTCCAGCAAGCCAACAGCCCCAATGATCACCACCTGTGTCCTTGCCTAGGTTGCTAGAAGTGAGTAGTCGTGGGGAGTTGGGGAGGTCTGCTGGCCCCTCAGGTCCTAAGCCTATGACACCAGTTTGGGGTCCATTTGGGAAGGAGGCACACCATTGCCTATGTGGCCTATGTCACCATGAGAGGCAGAGAGCTGGAGATAGAAGCTTGCAGGGGACACAGGAGGAATAACTGCTGGGGTAGAAAAGAGGTAGTTAAAGGAGCCTACAGCCCCCAGGAAGCTGATTCCAGGCAGAGGGAGTAAAGGAACTAATGAGGCATGCTTGAGACCCCTCTCTCCTGCCCTTTTATCCCTAAAGCAAGGGCTCTGCAGAACAGAGTGTACTGCCCCAGACCAGCCTCCTTGTGGCCCAAGGGCTGAATGTGCAAAACTAACTCATCTGGACATGAGGGCAGGCATGCTGGGTACTGCTGCTCTGGGAGGCAGACATCTTGGTACTACCTCCCTGACTTGGGAAGTAGAAGCCCTGTTTTGGGTAGCCTCCTTGTTCCTTAGGACCCACTTCCTTACATCTTCTGTGTCAGTTGTGGAGCCCAATGCAGGGATGTGGCAGGAGCCCTTGGAGGAGTCTGGCCCCGTGAGCAACTTCTTGGGTTCCACCCAAGATAATGATGGGTGGTGTCTAAGAGGACTCTGAACTCAGATAGTCATCCTGACAGTCAAGAAACTGACTACAGGCTGCTTTATAGTGTGTGTGTGCGTGTGCGTGTGCGTGTGTGTGTTTCTAAGACAAGTTTTCTCTGTGTAGCCCTGGCTGTCCTGTAAATCACTCTGTAGACCAGGCTGGCCTCAAATTCAGAGACCCACCTGCCTCTGCCTTCTGAGTGCTGGGGGTAAAAGCATGTGCCACTGCCACCCATTAAATTTTTATTTTTAAATTTTATATTTCAAAACTTTTATACAATATATTTTGATCATAGTCTTTGCCTTCCCCAATCCCCCCCAGATCCTCCCACGTCTCCACCCACCCAACATCATGCTCTTTTTCTAAAACAAAAACAAGAAGCCAATAAAAACAAAAACACTCCAAAATCAAAACAGACTAAAACCAAAATCAGTAAGACAAAAAATACCAAAACAAAACAGAAGTACACCAAACACCACAGAGTTCATTGTGTCAGCCAGCTACTCCTGGGCCTGGGGCTTGCTCTGTAGTGTGGTTGAATATACCCAATGACACTCCATTGGAGAAAATAACATTTCCTTTTCCCAACAGATATCAATTGCAAATAGTTTCCTTGTTGGGGGGGCAGGGACTGTGTCCACTTCCCCTTCTCAGTGTGGGATTTTGTCTGGTTTGAACCTGTGCAGGTCTTGTGTGTGTAGTCTGAGTTCGTATGTGTACCAGTCCTGTTGTATCTGGATGATGCTGTTCCAGCAGGCATTCTCTCTCCTGAGGCCCAGCCAATGCAGCTTACTGTACCCTGGACTTCCTGCTGTGCGGTCTGAAGCTTTTCCCTGTCCCTGCACTCTGGAGTTTGTTCCTGCAGTGCCTAAGACAGCTCCCCCAGAATTAACTTCATGATGAGGTCAAGGCTGGGTGTTATGTGCTCGGGCAGCAGTATCGTTTCACATCTAGCCAGGAGAGGTAATGGGACTGTCTGGGGGCTGCCCTAGGGGTACCATCCACCCACAAGTTGGACCACTGTAGTCAGAGCCCTCTAGACACTACAGGAGGTGGTAAACAGTCAGGCGTCCGTCCCCAGCATACACCCCTCCTTCCACATACAAGAGACCAAGTGCCTGAGGACCCTGCCCACTTTGCTTGGCACCTGCTGGTGACACTTGGAGAAGTGAATTGTACAGAGTGATGGTTATGCTGTGACCAATCTGGCTTTTCCATCTCTGACCCAAACTATTCTTTGGAACATTAGCCTATCAGAAGAGCGAGACTCCAGAGATGGTTAGTCTTATTCAAGGATATAAAAGATTTTTAAATAAAACGACACTTCAAAAGCACTGATAACACTCCAGTTTTCCTGGCACAGTCTACCAGTCTTCGTGGAGTTGTGAGAAGGGCCAGCAAACCCTAGCTAGGCAGCTCTGGGCACCCTGCTGGCCACAGGTGGGAAGCCTAGCCAGGCAGCCCTCCTCTGCCTCAGTTCACCTGTCTCAGACTGAGAAGTGTTTGCTTTGTGGTGGTCTCCTTTATGGCAGTGCTATGGTGTGAACAGAGCAGCAAAGCCCAGCTTGTCTGGCCACACAGCCTCAGGATGGCACACAGCAATGATTCTAATTCTCGGCCTGTGACTGGTGGACAGCTCTAGGCTCAATGGTGACACGTGGCACAATGACCATCACACACTCACAGAACAGAATGTGAGGTCTGAGAACATTTCAAATGACAAAGCATGACAAGCAAAGTTAGCAAACACCATCCTTGAGGGATAGAAATGAAAAATGGATTCACAAAGAAACTGTATCATATCTCCATACCTGATGTTGAAATTAACACTCATAATAATTTATGAAATACATTTATTTTGGAGATCAGTAGAGTATGTAAATATTCTGGCCTGACTAGAAGGTACGATATAACAACAGTAAGTGCAAGTTTAACATTGAAATTTTGTGCAGAATATTTTATGATTACTCCATAGACAATCACTACTTAAGCAACTATTTGCTAAATGATTTGTTGATACCTCATACAATACACTTTAGACAGCTTCAACAGTGGAACAGATTACTCAGTAAACATGGTTGTACATTCAATAAGCAAGTTACATTCTTACTGAGTGGGCCCAGTCTTAATTTGGATCCCGGGAAGGCAGTGAGGGCTCTGTAGCTTGGCGCTTCGGGCCCAGCCAGGCCCTGGCAGCAGGAAGCCGAGTTTCACAGGCATCTCTTTGCCACATCCCCCTTTGGCCACGTTAGGATCTGACAAGACCCGCTTGCTCGGGAGCACTTCTGGCCATCCTATCCCTTCAGTGTGTCCCATCAGCTCACACTCTTCTCCAACAATCCCTGTCCCCTGAGTTCTGAAGCCCCGGGTCTAATAACCCCCTCTTCACCGCAGGACCGGGCTCCATGCTTTAAGATCTGTAGTAATCTCTCTAAGATTTAAAAAGTAAAATTTCCTCACATTGTGCTATGAAAAGAAGCAGATTTATCCTTGAAGATCTAGAACATTCAACTTGAGGATCTTGAGGGGATTTTTATGAAGAATGGGGGAGGGTTCCCATCATGTTGCCTAGGTTAGCCTTAAACTCCTGGGCTCAGGAATCTTCTGGCCTCAGGCTCTGGAACAGCTGTGACTGCAAGAGGCTCTGAGTGGCATTCACAAAGAAAGCACTGCTTCTTGGCAAGAGGCTCAGTGTAGTTTAGGTCATCACGAAGGCACTGGGACAGTCACGACAGACTGTCACAAACACGTACACTTTGGGTGATGCTCTATGAATAATAAAAGATGTTTAACTGGCGAGCCGACTCCTGAAGGCCGGTCTCAAGCCACAGTGGACGAGGTGAGCACACCGACCTGCCCAGGTTTAGTACCTCAATCCCTAACAGGAGCTGGGAAGACCTGACCTCAGCAATCCAGACAGCAGAGGACAGCTGGACAGCTGGGTGGTGTTGACACTGGAGTGGGCAGAGCTATGGACTGGAGTAAAGAGGTCAGGGAGGAGTTAGTGAGTCTCCCTGACATACGGCCGGCCACGGACTGGGATCTAGTGTGGCGTGTTCTCCCCCAGCCCCGTCTACATCCTCTCCGCACCGGCACTGCTGACAAGTGCTGAGATTTGGCTCAAACACTGAGTTTCTTTAGCCGTTTGTGGCAACAACTTAGATTTGATTGCAGTACATCTGTGAATTTCCAGGTTTGGGTACAATTTTAAAAGTATTGGTTTGTTAACCATTTAGTAGAGGGATACTTCAGTAGAGGCTATGAGGAAGTTTTTTACAGTTGATCCTGAGGAGAGGAGAGAAGGACTCATGTTACTCTAGTATGAAAAGACCCACCCACACCCAGCCTTAGAACACAAGCCCAGGACTGAGACTCCCACAGATATTTTCTTCAGAGACTCTAAATTTATAATAGGAAAAAAAAAAAAAAAGCTCTGTGTTCCTAAAAAGCCATAGTGCAATTTCAACTTAAAATAAACAATTATTATGCTTTTTTAAAAAAAATAATGGCAATAAGACAGGGGGAGTAGACTCTGCACTGTGCAAAGCCAAGAGAGATTAGCAGAGGCATGCATTATCCTGGCACTGTGGTAGGGGGTTCAAGTGTTGGCATGAAATCTAAAACTGATGAACTTATTTCTAAGTTCAAGAGCAGCAAAAATGTTTTCGGAATGTTTTTAAAGACCTAAAGGAGCAACACAAGCAACACTGTGAATCACTGTTTAGAATAAAATGTGATTTGATATAAACAGGATTAAAAGGTCAGAGAAGAGAACAAAGAGGCAGCAAAGGGGAAAGTCAGATCTCCACCTGACTCCATACTGGGTTAAGAAAGAAATGAATTACTGGTCAATAGTAACGAGACAGGAGGACGGAAACTGGGAAATTGCAAACTCCTCCATGCTCTGTAAGAAAGATCCACGTAAACGCTCAGGAACGGCTTTGCCAAAAATCTTAACTCAGTAACCAAGTCAAGGATCAAGCCCGTGTGTTCTCCTTCCCACCAAACATCCTGGCTAAAGGAGACCTGTCTGCCACACCCTTTCGGGAACTCAAGGCTACCTTGTGTGGTACATTGATAACTAGGCGGGCCTTCTTGGGGACAAGGTAGGCCTAGGAAGCACTAACTCAGCCTGGTCCTCTGTGTCACCCTAGAGGTTGAGAAATTCTACCCCAACCAAAAGTATGCTCATTAGGCTAAGGGATCAATGTCAAATGACATACGCTATCGACCAGAGACCCAAGCCTACCTCCAACCGGATCTCCAGCCTCAGAAAGATGTAAAAGAGGAAAAGCCCTGAACTGCCACAGTGAATTCCTAAGTAGTAGGGTTTTATTTTTAATTAAAATGAAACAACTGAGAGTTAAAAATTTATTCTCAAATTATAAAACAAAAGGTAAACATGTAAATAGTGACTGTGGTCTGGCGCTGCATGGTGCACTCTCCCGGACTGACTGAGGAACTGGTGCAGCTCAACAAGTGGCCACTCGCTTTTAGTCAGGATGCAGGCTTCGCCAGACCCAGCTAGACGTTACTGCTACACATTTCTCTCAGATGATGCCTAAATTGAATCTTAACACTGAGTAGCTCCAGGCCAAGGTTCAATATATGTAAGTTAAACATCCTTTTGTCAGAAACCCCAAACCTTCAGCTATAGAAACAACTAAAACCAAACAGAACCCAGCCTGGCCCACACACAGAAGGAAAATAGGAAGCTCCTACCTCACTCTCAACAGACAGCTGAGGTCTGACCATCAGTGCTTACTTGACCAGCGCAGTCTATGAACTATCAGAGAAGCCAACAGGGCTTTTCCCCTCGGCACAGCTTGGTATTTCTGAGAAAACCCAAATGATTTCAAATGCAGCTGTTATCACCAATCCACCAGTGTGGCAATAGTGTAAGATGAACAACTTTTCACATTTTAACCAAGACACATGATCTATAAACATGGCAGTTCCATTATGCCTTTCATCATGGCCTCTCTTCACAGACACTGTCCCACATCTCCTTAGTTAGCTGTCTGAGGAAACCCCTCCCCACTCCACCTTGATGTTTGTTCCCACAGACTCCCTCCTTCATCCCAGAGATGCACCGCTGCCCAGAGGAGGAGGCTATCAAGAGGGCCTCTTTGAAAAGTCACCTCTGTAATGACCTGTGGCCCAAGACAAACTTTATCTGGCAATCCACTTTGGAGGAAAAGATGCCTAATAAAAACTACACTCCTTGCCTATTTCCTTCCACTACCACCATTCCGCATCACCATGACGACTTCATGCACGTTCAAGAACAAACTGAAACTGAACAGAGAAGACCAATACCCAAAGGACCAGAGGGCGAACAGCTCAGGATCTTCCAGCAAGCTCCACAGTGACTTAGACTCTCAAAAAAGTTGGTAAACTCCTGTAATAATTTTGACTTTGTAGGCTGTTCAGCCTTGGTCAGAGCTATTAAACTTTGACACTGCAGCAGAAAAGCAGCTAGGACAGTTAGTAAACAACTGTGTTTACAAAATCAGGTAGTTGGCCGTCTGGCAGACTTTAGAAGCTGATTGGTAGATGGACTTACATAGCTACAGCAGCCCCTAGAGAGGAGGAAGGAGTAGAGGCAGGATAACAGAGGTGGACTTATAGCAGCCCCCAGACACGAAGAAGGACCAGAAGGACTGGTTTGTCAGGAGGGGAGGGACTCACCTTGATGATCACAGCTGCAACCGCGACTAAGCACACAAGTAACAGCATTCCCAGCCTTCCTTTGTTGAACTGCTTCAGCAGGAAGAACTTAGCCCAGCTGACCTTGGACTCGCTGTTGGGAGGGTACCTGAGCTTGTTAACACTCTCTCCCTTTAACCCTTTTAGCAAACAGGGACGCTGATGAGAAAAGGTATCAAAACTGTATTTTCCATGATAAGCCCCCATTCCACTGGCACCTGAAATAAATGGAAGGGAAGAAATGAATTTCACTGTAGGGGCTTCCCATTTCAACAGACTGAGACAGCCTGGCTGGACTCTGCCAGAGGGGGAGACGCTCAACTTCTTGGCCTTTCTTCCCAGAGATCCTTTCCCAAGTTGGCTCCAAGCACATTCATCTGCTCTCTCAGGCAGGATGCAAGGCCAGGATCTGCATCTCTTCCTGGGTTGTGCTGTCCTTTATACCAGAAGTGTGCTAAATGTTTTGGGGTGTTCTTTGGGGACTTCCACCACAGCCCTGTGGCAGTCTATAGCTCCAACCCAGAGCCAGCAGATCTGCCTAAGGTCACATGGCACACAACAGACTGCAGATGAAACTGTCTTGCGCAGTGGCAATGGACAACGATGGAAAGCAGGCTCACTGGAAGCTGGGACAGTTGGCTGGGGCCAGGCCACAGCTGAGTCACCAGTGTTTTGAGGGAGGGGGTCATTCAGAAAGCAAGACTGAGTCATTGGAGAGACAATGAAACCAGAGAGAACACCTGAGGATACTGGGGGAGGAGAAGAGGAGCCAGGTAAAGCCATGGTCATGGTAAGAAGGACCCAGAGGTAAGAACCAGACTGCATTCACAATGCTTCCCCAAGAACAAAATGTCTCTTGCGCATCCGCTAGAGAACTCTCATGCCTCAAATCAACCAGCAGGCAAGGAAAGGCTGCCCTTCCCCACAGAGGCTTGGAGGGCTAGTGCATGTAGCACTGACTTCCCACCTCAGCATCACCTTAAATAGAACACAAAGGGGTATCAGGAAATACTGTTTCTGGCATTTTAAACCTTTCTCTAACTGTACCTCACTTAAATACAGGTATCCTACTAATTAACTTGAAACCTGATTCTTGGCCCTTAAGCCTCGCAAATCTGGTAGCATAGTGAGGAAAGTAGCAGGTGAAGAAAGTCACCACAGCTGTGGTAAGTGACAATGAGGACAGAGTGACAGGACAGACAGTACTGGGCAGGCCATTGGGAAATAACTGTAAGCTGGGTGGACAGGCAACCCGGAAATAACCCCAAGCTGGGTGGCTGGAGGACACGATCACAGGGACACGTATAATAAACAGTGCCTGATTTTCAACAGCCTGTACAAGAAACCCAGGAAACATGCTTCTGGCACATTTCTATTCAGGAGAAGGTCACTATGGTGGTCTGGGGGGCCATTCTCATAAGTTTATATGTCTGAATGTTTGGTTCCCACTAGTTGAACTGTTTGGGTAGGATTAGGAGGTGTGGCCTTGTTGGAATGGGTGTGGTCTTTTTGGAGGTATACCCCTGGGGCTGGGCTTTGAGGTTTCAAAAGCCCACTCCAGGTCGGGTCTGAGTCTGAGTCTCTGCCTGCAACCTGCAGATCAGAGACGAGATCTCTGCAACTGCTCCAGCTTTACGACATCTACCTGCCTCCACGCTCCCTGCCAGGATGATGGAGTAACCCTCTGAAACTGTAAGCAAGGCCTCAATTAATTGCTTTCAATTGTCTTGCTCAAGGTGTCTCATGACAGCACCAGACAGTCATACTTACCCACACCTCCAAAGGGCAGAGAGTTGACAGTGAAGTGCATGATGACATCATTGCCTGTCACTCCACCACTGGACGTCTCATCAATCACCCGTTTGATGAGCTGGGGAACAGACCACAGGCAGCCAGGTTAGACCTAAGGTCCTAGCACTCACCGTGGGCTCTAAGGACATGCATCCTGGCTTTGTGGGTCGGTGCAAGTTCTTAAGTTTGAGGAGACACAAAATTCATGTCAAAAGTTACTAAAAATACTGTATAAAATTATCTTCGGGTTATGAATACACTGCCTCATGAACACAGAAGGAATCTGTGCTTAAACTTAGGTCCCACCTCCAAGACAGCTCCTAATAGGGAAAATTTTCAAAATCTGAATAAAAATTCTGCAATCAAGCTGGATGGTACGTACTTGCATCTCAGCAATTGAGAAGGTGGTGCAGAAGCATGGATCTGTGGTCAGACTAGGATACACAGTGCCTTAAAAATTCTGAAATCTTAAACACTTTTGGTCCCTAGCACATCAGTCTGCAGATGAGAAAGAGTGGCCTGAACCTTTGTTTACCTGATCCCCATCAAGATCTATAGTCCAAACATTACCAACAATGGACTGTTTAGAAATGATTACGCCTCTCAAGTTGGTACTGACCAGAAGGGTTCTGCCCGGCTGAATAGCTTTCACAGTACCATGGGATGCTAACAGGCTGTTGGAGGTAAGGGAGTCAGGGGCGGCTGGGGGGACTCTTACCAGTTGTGAACCTGTGAACTGTGATAACAGCCAGCACAGCAAGCTATGGCTGTGGATGCAGGAGTGGCAGGAATGTCATGGGCGTGACACCACAGGGCTATGGCTGTGGGTGCAGGAGTGGCAGGAATGTCATGGGTCTGACACCACGGGAGGAAGCACGCCTGGCACTACAAATCCAGAGTCCATGGCTGGGGAGCTTAGAGTAGAGTGGATTATTCTCTGAAAGCATACCTTATTGTTATGAGAAAATATGTAGAGTGCCAAGGGCTTTTCACGGTCATTTATGAAATTTATGGCTTCGTCTACGTTTTTCACAGACACAATTGGAAGAATTGGTCCAAAAATTTCTTCTTGCATCACCTTGGAGTTAGGATCAACATCAGTAAGTATGGTTGGGGCTAAAAATAAACAAGCAAATAAACAGATAAATAAAGGACGCAAATAGTCAAGCTGAAGACAAAGAAAGCAGAACTCTCATTCCCTCTTTATTCCACTGGGTCGACCACCCACAGGGCACCCACTGCACAAATCCTATGGGAGCATCCACCCCTACGGTGTGTCCTCCCAAACGCGCCAGGCCTAACTTTGAGTGACAGAGCTGTGACTCCTCCCAAAATTTGCTTTCCAAATCCACTGTGGAGCTCAGGGAAGAGTCTTACTTTAGACCAAGCTAATCTCCACAGTTTCCTTCCTTTTGTCTCTGGTTGTCCTAAAAATGGGTCACACTGCGACCAAGAAGATGGGAAGAAGAGCAAGATGAAAGAACTCTGGGTTTTAATGGTATTAACAACCACAACCATCCAATGCAGGAGAATCTCTATGAATTTCCATCCTTTTAAGATTGTTTTTAACAGATGATAAGAAAGATAAGTAAATTAATTTGGGGTCAACTTCCTTGCCCAACACATGTGCTTGTATCTCTTTCATCATCTTGTGTGCTAGTTTTTGAACTTGTATTTAAAAATTCAGTAAGAGTCTACGACAAGGCTCAGCGAGTAAAAGTACTCACCCCTGGGCCTACCCATTTGATTTAAATCCCTAAAGGCCACACAGAAGGAGAGAATGTCTCCCTCACGTTGTCCCCTGACTCCTACATATACGCTAGCTAGGTTTTATGTCAACTTGAGCTAGTTGAGAAAAGGAACCTCAATTGAGAAGATGCCTCCATCAGATTGCCTGCAGGCAAAGCTCCTGACTGATGAGTGACGTGGGCAGGCTCAGCACACAGGGGCCTTGGGCCACCTTGGGCAGTCATCCTAGGATGTTTAAGAAAGCAGGCTATGCAAACCATGAGGAGCAAGGCAGTGAGCAGGGGTCCTCCACGGCCTCTGCTAGGTTTCTGCCTCCACATTCCTGCCTTCCCATCCCTTGGGGATGGAGAATGACCCATATTAAGATGAGAGAAACCCTTTCCTCCTCAAGTTGCTTTGGTGATAATGTTTTATCTTGGCAACAGAAACACAACTAAGATAAAAATTGGTGCTAGGATCGCTGACTATTGCAATGACAGATCTGGAGGTCTGTTTTTGGAGAATTATGGGAGAAGTTTGGGCTGGCAAAGCCACTGAGTGCTTAGAGCTCACGAGCTGCTGTGTGAACTTGGAAGACCATGCTGAGAGCAGTGTAGACGACAGAGACCTGGCTTGTGGAGTTTCAGAGGGAAGTTTGGAAGAGTCCCTTATAGACAATAAATATCAAGGCCATTCACTATTTTGAATTAAGATCTGTAGTTCTGGTGAGCTGGGGCTGAAGAATCAGAAGAGACCAACATCAACGAGGTGCAATCGTCTAGGAAATGGTTCCTCAGGGTCAGGACACAGAAGCTCCATTCCAGAGGTGGCCAAGACTGTACTTTGTGCTGGCAGCTGAACTTGGTAATGTGTGAACGATTCCCAGGTAATACTGGATTTGAAGCTATGACCGGCCCATGAGGAGCGGCTAAGGCTTGGGACCCAGCTTGAGGGGCCACTGGTGCAAGTGTAGCTTCAGTTGTAGTAGAAGCTCCAGGATTAAAGCAGTCGTAGAGAAAAGCTGAGGCTGGGCACCATACGGCAGGGCCAAGGTCCCTAGAGAGAGCTCAGGAGAGTCTACTGGTGAAGATGCAGACCGGCTGCAACAGTGACCCCAGAATTTTGGAGATGCCAGTATCAGGGGAGGAACACCAAGCACAGTGGTGGCTGTGGAGTGGAGCCAGCCTATGAGATCCTATGAGACAACTGTGGTGTGCTGTGGATGCCGGAGCTGGAGACGTGGGGCTGTCAAAGGCCTTTGGGCCCCAGAGTCTGACACTGAGCTTTACACTGTGGACTCTGGTTTTGCTCTGACTCGATTAGAACTGCTCCCTGGTTCTTACCTCTTGGGACAAAAAGGATGTGATTTATTTTGATTTTTACAGAGATCCGCAGTTATGAGACCCTGAATATGTTGAAGAAGCTTTGCAATTTTAGAAAGACTAGAGTTTCAGAGAAACTCTGGATATCTAATGAGACTGAACTTAAAGTGTTTGAATTTTTTAAGATCATGGGACTTTAAGGTGGAATGTCTTATATTGTAATGTTGATATTAGTATAAGATCTTGGAGATTAAACCAGGAACAAAAGGTTATGGCTTAGTGAGACAGAGGGAGGGGCCTGGGGGAGAACACACAGTGTGTGTGTGTATCAAGCTGACAAGTGGTCATCAGTACTGTTTTATGTCACTTAACACAAACTAAAGTCATTTGGGAAAAGGAAACTGCCAACAGAGAAGATGTCCCTCCAGACTGACCAATGGACAAGCCTATGGGGTATCTTCTTGGTTAATGACTGGTGTGGGAGGGCCCAGACCACCCTGGGTGGTGCCAACTCAGGCAGATGGTCCTAACTTGTATAAGAAAGCAGGCTGATCAAGCCCCTGGGAGCAAGCCAGTAAGCAGCATCCCTCCATGGCCTCTGCCTTAGTTCCTGTTCCAGGTTCCCGCCTTGAGCTCCTGCCGACTTCCCTCAGTGATGGAATATGAGCTGAGAGTTGTAGGATGAAATAAACCCTTTTCTCCTCAAGCTGCTTTTAGCTGTGGTGCTTTACTACAGCAACGGAAATTAAGTTTCTATGGCACCTGTATGTATATGCGCATTTATACACACATAAAGTAAAATAGAATGAAAAATCAATATAAACAAATTAAATTCAATGTAACAAGGGCTAGGAACCCAGCTCGGTGGTGGATTGCCTGTGCAGCGTGTGTGGGGCCCTAGGGTCCACATAAGAGGAAAGTCGAAGGAATACATACTCATGGAAAAGGCAAAGTACGCAAAGAATGTGAGTAAGCAAAGATCAAGAACAGCAACTCAAAGCACCATCTCTGGAAGTGTTTGGTGCTATTTAGTGGTGGGATTCTGAGCTACTTTCTCATCTATAAGTGGGGAAAATTATGTAAAATCCCCTTCTGCTTCTCATGCTTTTAGAATTAAAAAAAATCATGTAATATACAAAAATTCAAGAAAAAGAAAGCAACTAGATTATCTTAAAGGTATATGCACACATACAATTTTAAAAAGTACACTAAAAGCAGTATTTACAGCTTATGTAAGATCAGTAAGTGCTGGGTAAAATGCCAAACTGCTATCTTCCCCAGGGAAAGGTGACTTTTCTTTACCTATGTAGCGTGTGGCCTCATCAGTCTCCCCTCCAAAAGCTATTTTCTGTCCTTCAAGCAAACTTCGTATCCTCTTAAAGTGACGAAGATTGATGATCCTTTCATAGTCAGGAGACGCTTTTATATTTTCCCCATAGAAGTCCTATTAAAAACAACAGGAGTTACTTAACTGTGACAAACCCCAAATGACTATTTCTTTAATAAGTTAAAAATCTACTGGTGTTTAAAAACTGATCTGGCTTAAGTCCTTATCACATCCAACACCCACTCTTGCATAATTTAGTATTAGTACAGTAATAGTAATTTCAAGCTTTTAGACAAGTCAAGTATTAACAAATAAGGTAGCTACTCAGACATACATACCCTCTCTTTCTTTCTCACACACAAACACACACACACAGACACACACTCTCTCACAAACACACTGTCTCATACATACATATACATACTCTTTCACACACACACGGTCTCTCTCTCATATATGCTGTCTCTCACACACCCTCCCTCTTCTCTCTCTCTCTCTCTCTCTCTCACACACACACACACACACACACACACACACACACACCCTTCTGCCTGCACCTCTCTGGTTTCAGGTTTCTAGAGATCCCCCAGTCTCCTCACACCAGTCACACCTTCCCCCAGTCTTCCTGGTGGAAGAGGAACCGATGGCAGGGAGAGGCCATTTGTTTGCCCATCAGTTGGCCTCTCCCAGAAGTTAAGCTGGGCAGTTGCTGCTGAGACTTTCTGGTCTTCAAACCCTAAATATATACTCTCTTCTAGCCTTTACCTAAGAAGTTTGCCAGTCTTTGCTGTTTTGTTGGTTTGTTTTCTCTGTATAGGTATTTTCACCAGTCATTGATAACAGGAAAACTACTCAATGTATCAAGATAAAGCCTTGTTAAATTACCAAGGCAAACAGCTCAACAGGGATAACCAATAGTTATCATATAAATATATGATAAGTATAAATATAAAACCAAATATAAATATAGAACTACTGACATGTATAAAGCTCAACAGCCTTGTGAGAGCTCTGAATCTACTGTAGAATCACACCAGGTCTTACTCACTAACAAACCTATCTCAACTCAAAAGTCTGGGAGGCAGGAATCGCCCAGGGTGCCTGTTAAAATGTATGTTCTGTCCAAGGCCAAGGCCACCAACACAGGTTTTCAAGTTAACTGAATCACAGAAAAACAAGGGTGAGAGACCACACCAGAGCAATCACAATCTTAAGGTGAGGGCTAGAGACTTACTTTTAAGTGGCTCCCTGGTTATTCCAACATGATATTTGACTGAGAACTCATATGTCATAGCACAAACTCCTCAAAGGTAGGAAGAGGGGCCCTTGATCCTCTGGAACTACATTCAGTCTCCCAGGGACCTTGATCCAGTCTTCTGCCCACAGCCCCTGATCTACACAGCTTTGCTGTTCTCCTTGTCTGAGTCCTCGGTCTCACCTACCCCATCTCTCTGTACCTCCTGGTCTCCAGGTCTCACTCTCTTCATACATACTCTTTGCTATTCTCCAGCCTTTCTGGTGACCAGCTAACAAAAAGTTCATCTCCTCAAGATGGCTTAGCATTCTTCATACCCTGGTCAAACACTCTCTAATGATGAAAACCCCATATCTCCTTCCCCACATTCTCCTAAGCAAGCCTTAGCTTAGTTATCAGAGCACAGTCTTCATTAGTTCCTTTATGTACCCTAGAAGATGGATAACCCTCTACAGCAGCAGTTCTCAACCTGTGGGTCATGACCCCCTTGGGAGTTGAATGACCCTTTCAAAAGGCTAACATCAGATATCCTGTGTATTAAATATTTACATTACAATACCTAACAACAGCAAAAGTACAGTTATGAATAGCAACAAAAATAATTTTATGGTTGGGGTGGATCACATAATATGAGGAACTGTATCAAAGGGTCACAGCATTGGGAAGGTTGGGACCACTGCTCAACAAGGTGCACTTTAAGTAGGCATTTACGTCACTCCTTCAAACTACTGGCCATCTGGTCCTCTACACACAAGACAACTGATAACTTGCATTAGCAAGAACAATAAGGGCTCTCTTCAAGTAATTTGGAAACATTCTCTCAAAGCCACAGACTACACTGTTGACTTTTACATATAGGCCTCCACTAATCCTCAACACATCAACCACCTGATTCAAGTGGACCTGCACCAACTCAGACTCAACCCCTGCAGATGCAGAATGTTTCCAACTAGCCAATAAGTTAATGCAGTCACATACGTTACTGGGATTATTTGAGTTGGGAGTAAAAGTGAACAGAGATGCTGTCTGAAAGTACTTCACTTGACGTTCACCTGACTGAAATCAGTGGGATCACAACTGCTGGACACAGACCTTCACTGTATCCTTAATCTTCTGTACGATTTGATCCTGGAGGGAAGCTTCACATAGGATATAGTCAGGAGCAATACAGGTTTGACCACAATTCATGTACTTTCCCCAGGTTATGCGTCTGAGGAGAAACAAAACAAAAACAGAATACCTATACAATTCAGTCTCTTTTTCATTTTTTTTTTAATGTATACGAGTGGTCTGCTTCAGACACACCAGAAGAGGGCATCAGATTCCATTATAGATGGTTGTGAGTCACCATGTGGGTGCTGGGAATTGAACTCAGGACCTCTGAAAGAGCAACTTCTTAACTGCTTAAGAGTGCTCGTAACCGCTGAGCCAGCCTCCAGCCCCCATCATTTCTGTTTTAATGTTTTCCAGTGTATTAGTTATTTTACACATTGCTTTGACAAAAAAATCTTACAAAGGCAGCTTAAGGAAGGAAGAGCTGGCTTTGGCTCACAGTTGAAGGGTACTATGTCAGGGCAGGAAGTCATGGTGGCAGGAGCATGATGTCTGGTCACACGGCACCCACAGCCAAGAAGGAGAAAGCAGCCAATACTTATGCTCAGTGTGACTTTTTTTTCACCTGTAACCCCAGACTTAGGGTGGGTCTCCCCACTTCAACTAACCTAAGCTAGATAATCCCTCACAGACATGTCCAGAGATTCGTTTTCACTGTGATTCTAAATGCCATCAAGTTGAGAGCCAAGGTTAACCATCATGCCAACTGATACGGCTCTGTATACTTAGTAATTGTTAAAAACAAAATAAAAACTCGGGTTGTAGATCATCTAGTTACAACTTAGAATGCATTTTAAGATTTCTTTTTGATTTTGTGTGTGTGTGTACATGGAAACATGCATGCCACAGTGTGTGTGTGTGTGTGTGTGTGTGTGTGTGTGTGTGTACAACATCTTGGGAGTTGGCTCTCTCCTGCTTTGCTGAGGCAGGATCTCGTTTCTGCTGCTGTGCTTGCGGCACACTTGAGGCCTCCCATCTACTCAGAATCTGGCTTTTTTAGAACATGGGCTCCAGGTATCAAACTCAAGATGGTCAGGTTTGTATATCAAGTACGTTTACCCACTGAACCATCTTACCAGCCTTTAGAACAAATTTTCAATTGACGTGAAATATTCTAAGTAGCAAGAAAATGAGTCTGCCTGGTACACAGTACCTAATAAGCTATGAAGCCTCGGCCTGCGGGAAAAGACAACGGCCTCCCAACGTTCGTTCCTTGATTATCCAGCCAAAAGGCCATCCAGGATGGCAAACACAGATCAGGTTCTGGCTCTCCACTGTGGCTGCATCCTCTCCCAGGCTCCTCTTTGTAGACCCTCCCCCTTCCTACACACAGACAAAGCCCTAGCATGAACCTAGCACTCACCACTGGTCTCTTTTTCTGGATGCTCTACTCAAAGAGGCCAAGCAGGAACCCTGACCTAACTCTCTACCCCCTCCTCGGTGCCACAGCTCGGAAGCAGAGAAAATCAAACCACACAGAGCACAGAGGCAGTCATTTCCTTGTAGTCAAGCCTAATTTAGTGAAGAGGGACTGAACTCTTCATTTCTGGTTTGTGTGGGGGGGTGTGGTTCTGATGCTTTGATGCGAATCACGGAGAGAGGTAATATAGTAGAAGACATGGTTTTCAGATGGTGTTACAGGCTAAGATCTAAACATAACTCAGAGATAGAATTATAACTCTAAGTTAGGAAGGATGGTAGAGTACTTTATCTAACTGACAAATACGATGGACTGGATGTTAATTGTACAGCATACTTTGTAATTTACATGATTGTTATGGTTTTGTTCAATTTATGTCTGAGAGAAGAGTTGGGTTCTTTATGTTGTTGTTGTTTTTTAATTAGACAGAAAAGGTGAAACATAGCGGGTGGTTCTGATGCTTTGATTGGGAACATGTGTGTGAATGTGAAGGTCTTGTTCCCCAAGTGGGTTTTGTTTTTTGTTTTGTTTTTTTTTTTGTTTTGTTTTGTTTTTCGAGATAGGCAGGGTTTCTCTGTGTAGCCCTGGCTGTCCTGGAACTCACTCTGTAGACCAGGCTGGCCTCGAACTCAGAAATCCGCCTGCCTCTGCCTCCCAAGTGCTGGGATGAAAGGCGTGCGCCACCACTGCCCGGCTCCTCAATTAGTTCTTGATTGATCAATAAAGATACCCATGGCCAATGGCTGGTTAGAAGAAGTGGGACTTCCAGTTTCCTGCAGGCAGGACAAGCTCTACTGGTTCCCAGCTGCAAAACACTATTCGAATTTTCTGGCATACTGTTTTGTTAGCAAAGGATCTCAGCAGAGAAGTGAACATAATACCCTTTGAACTGAGAATGTAAACACTTTACTAATACACTTGACCTTTTGGACTATCTATTTCATCAACCAGCAAAACTAGAGTTCCTTACCGCAGGCTCAGAATGTAGCTTAATGTGGAACACAGACTTGCCTAAGAAAGCTCCAGACTCATTCCCAAAAGGAGGGGGAAGGAGAAGGAGGAAGCAACACTGGGCAAAATTTCTCATCAGGTTTATCCATAAGAATATTTCCAAACTTCCTAAGGAAAACACCATGCTGGCAGGACCTACGTGTGGCTTCCTACCCCAGCAGTGGCATCAGAGGACAGTTCGAGAGGCCCCGGTTTTTCCTGAGCACATCAACCACTAAGGTCTGATGAACCTTGAAGCTATAGGTCATGAGGTTCAAGCGAGAAGGAAAACAAGCCACTAGCAAAACTTCCACCTGCTGGGGAAAACCTCAGGAACAAAGCCAGTCCCACCTGCAAGCAATGTCCAGGTCACAGTCTCTGTCAATGTAACATGGGCTTTTCCCCCCGAGTTCCAGGGTCACAGGGGTCAGATGTTTGGCAGCAGCTTCCATGACAATTTTTCCAACTGCAGTGTTTCCTGTATAGAGAATGTGATCAAACCGCTGCCTCAGAAGCTCCGTGGTTTCCTCAACACCGCCATTAATAATCACGTACAGGTCCTCAAAGAGAGAGAAACAGACTCTTGCTTTGTTAAATTAATCTTGTTGCCTTGCATCAGCGATTTTTTTTCCAGCATAAATAAGTAGCACTCAGCAAAACCAAAAGATCAAAATCACCTCCTGAGAGGGACCGATCAGGGAGGTGATCCAAGAAAAATGGAGGACAACGTATCTGCAGGCATCCAGGAACCACTAAGCTACACAAGACTGAGAGTCTGGTATTTCCTACGTAAACCTGTCAATGAAAGCACAACTAAGAGTAAATGCACTCCACAGGGGTAACGTAGGACATGAGGGATTTTTGTTGCTGTTTCCTTCTGTTTTGCACAGTGCTGGGAAGCCAGTCCAGAGCCTTGTACACAGCACGCCAGCATTCCACCTCGACGCATCTCCAGCCCCGCAGTTAGCTGTCTTAATCCCTATGCTCTCTCTGTCCACAATACAAGGAGTGGCAGGGCTAAGCTATGGTGAATACGTCCTATCTGCTGAATGAACAGGACGAACTCAGAGCATCAGATCTGAGGAGCTTGGTTCTGATGAAGATCTGGATTGGATTTATGCTCTGCCACTCACTAGCATCTGTGACTTTAGACACCCTCTGAGCTTGTTATTGTGAAAAGTGCCATGTCACATAACATCTGTACCCATACCCGGTACATGCAGGTTGTCTCCGTTAGGTAGCTAACTCTGAGAGAAAATACTTTGAATGATAACAGCATGGAAAAAAAAAGGAAAAAAAAAACAACAAAGTAAAGGCCAAGAGCAAACGGCAAGGAAAGCACGAGGAGACGTACGAAGGCGGCTAGCTGTCTGATGGAGGATGAGCTGCCAGGCAACCTCTGCTTCTCATTTGATCTCTTGTTCATTAGAAGGCTAATTATTAGTTCTTACTCACTTCACAGTTCAACAGACCAATGTTGTGTAAGTTTTAATTTTTCTGTGCCTTACTCCATAGGTAAACTGGCAGATTGAGACCTTAACCCTGTATCTCTGGTTCTAAGTCCTACTCGATCTATGACACTTTACTATCTTCCATTTTATCCTTCTGAATTGGATAAACTAGAGGACAGAACTATTCTGTGAGCTATGACAATGGTGCTAAGTCAATGAACAGAACAAAATTACTCTAAGAACCGAAGTCGGTCACAGGGAAATTATAAGTTAATAAACATAATACAAATCAGGGGTTTTAAAGCTGCCCTTTGATGAAAGCTAAGTGGATAACGTCCCCTGCAGAACTACATGTGAGACCCCACAGCCACGACACAATCAACTTCCTCTCTAGAGAACAGGAGAACTTCTGAATTTGATCCCTTATACAAAAACTGGGGATAGGACACCCCCTAGGGTGATCATAGGCACACCAGCCTTTGATGCTCTCAGAGTGTTGGGTCAGGAAGGCACTTTCTTTAAAAAGCAAACGTACTCACGTAATAACACACTGACATTTGGTTAGGAAAAAATATGTGATCAAAACATGCTAGAGTCTCATTAACTATTTGACCAAATGAACCATGTCTAAACGTGTATCCTCCCAAGTGCCGGATGGTAGAGAGAGATACGTAAAGCCACAGGTCAAAATACACTGTACTGAGCAGGCGCGGTTGCTGGGTCATTCTACAGGGTGTTTTGGAACCTGGCTTCCTTTGTTAAGTCACTGTTGTGGACTTAGGGAAATCATATGGATTCCCAGCCAGCAATGGCACCCACTAGCACAAGAATCGTGTCTGTGTTTTCTACCATAAACAGGTGTATGGAAGACGAATCGAGATATTCTTACCTGGTCTAAATACCGAGGGAGGAGTTCAGCCAAGAGCTTGGCAGTGTTTTCACTGAGTTCCGAGGGCTTAACAATGGCAGCATTTCCTAAACAAAGCGAATAGCACAATGACGTCATCCAGGACTTGAGTAACTTTAATAGCTACTTCCATGTACCAGTACAAGCTAAGTTTCACTTACTTCTGCAGCTCTTAAGTCTGCCCTACCTCAGATCTCCTCTCCTCTTTCCGTTCACGTTTCCTTCCCACGTGCTAACCCCTTAGCTCTCAGCATCTCCAGGTCACTGACGATAGGCTCCGCCAGCCCTTCACAGTCTCCCAGACTTCTATCTCTTTCTTTGTAGCTCTGCCTATGGTGTTTCCTCTCTGTCCAGACTCACTGAGTGAACAAGCTATGTCAACATAAGTTGTTGATCTGGAGCTTCCAAATTAAGAAATCAATCTGTTGGGATTTACTGTACAGTCTAGCTAGCATTACACCCAATACCTTTATTTAAATAAAGAAACTGGTAAGACTGATTTTAGACTGGTTTGTCTAAAGACCGAGCCAGTAAACTAAAACCACATTAGAATATGGATGCCTGACTCTAAAGTCTTGGGACAACTGACTGGATCAGATGCCTCTGACTCCCACAGATTCATGCCCTAGGTACTTTAGTAGTCACAGGAAACCTCAACTTCTCAGCAGCATTCGTACAGGTAAGTACACGAATGAATTCTCAATAAATTCAAGGCAAACTGCTAAAGTAAACGTATTTAACTAGATACTTACAATCAATATGACAAAGTATGACCCTTTACAAAGAAATAAAGACATAAGCTGATGTCAGACCTGCAGCAATGGCTCCCACCAGCGGCTGCATGGTCAGAACAAAAGGGTAGTTCCAAGCTCCAATAATCAGTACGACTCCCAGAGGCTCTGGCTGGACATAGGCCTCATCCATCATGGTAAGCAGGTTCTTCTTAGCCGGTCGAGCAGAAGCTAATTCAGGAAGATTCGCCAGCATAAAATCAATCTCCCCAAGGATGGTAATGACTTCATGACTGTATGCATTGAGTTCACTCTGGAAAGGAAAATCAGTTACTCTTACATAAACAGTAGAATACACTTGGCTTAGGACAAGTGGTTCTCAACCTGTCGATTGTGACTCTCACAGGAGTTGCATATCAGATATTTCACATTATGATTCATAGCAATAAAAAAAATTACAGTGTTGAAGAAGCAATGAAAATAATTTTATGTTTGGAGGTCATCACAACTGTATTGAGGGTGGCAGCATCAGAAGGTTGAGAATCACTGACTTAGGATGTCACAAAGCTTAGACCAAGTATACTTGCAGTAACAACTGGTATTATTAGACACACACCCCCTCACGCTGATTTGCTATCTGATGTTTTGTTGTTTTTTCTTTTTAAATCTTCAAGTTCTCAATAAGGCACACCCTGGATACTCATGATGGTTCTTCCTCTCCAATATATTCAGTGCCTCTAAATTCTCCTCTACCTATCCGAGCCTTTAGAACAGGGTTAAAAAACGATCTTTTTCAACATCACCTCCCAATTAATAACAGCCTGCCACAGTCACAATTTAGGTACCACGGCAATTTTGCTTTTGAGCTACATCTTAATACTTCATCCTTAACCCACTGGTTTATGACCATAGTCACATATTTATCTGAATATGTTCTATTTTGCAGCTAGATTTAAAATTCTGGACTTAAACTGTATTTCTTCAGGAACCCTATGTATGTACAAACACACACAAACTATCTGATGTTCGAGGAATGGATGATTCATAGGGTTTTAATATTCATTATCCTATCTTGTTTACTAATTACCACAGCCCCTCTTTACCAAAAGTACTCTGAAGAAAGGTTTCCAGCTTCTACTACAATTACTGTTACCACTTTTTGAAACAGTCTTTGATTGGGGAAGGAGGACTGCAAATCTGAAAATAAAGGTCTTGCTATGCCTGGAATACAGATAGAAAGTTTAAAAAGGGAAACAATATTACTAGAGAATACAGGAGAATATAGCTGTGCTTCAAACACTACTTAAAACATTGGTATTCGAGGCTTGCTTCTAAAGAGGCCATATGGTGTCACCTGGGACCTCATTAGAAATCTCAGACACTGTCTCACAAGGACTAACTCAAGATTTATATTTTAACAGGTCCCCGGGGTGATTACCAGTATACTAGAGTTCAAGCATACATATGATTAATGATACACAAAGTCATGAGGGAAGGTTTGAGTGCTGAAGATTATAGGAAATAAAAAGAACTGTCAACAAAAAGAAACCATTTTTAAAACGTTATGAAATAAGTTGGGAAATAAAATAGCTGAAGCCGTCAAGCAGGTAAACTACTGAGATCCAGACTATACAGAGTTAACTGCACATTGTAAGGAAAGAGATTATAAACGCAAAAGAAATGGGCAAGGCTATAGAGAGCATTCGCAGACGAGAAACTGCTGGCGCCAAGTAAAGCATGCACTTCAATATGAGTGCAAATACAACAGTTTGGGCTCTAAGCGGGGCTGGATAGGCCAGAGTCCAGGGTAACTCGACTTCCTCTTTACTGCTGGATAAACAAAACCAAACAATCTGCTACAGAGCAGGAATAAGGTGGCGCACCGGGCCCCTCCCATCCCGTGGACGCTCACTTTGCTCAGGTCTGCCGCGATGGCTGCTAAGATGTCCTTCTCGCGCTCCTGCACCATCCTCCGCAGGGCCTCGAGCTGCTGCATTCGGAAGCGCAGCGGCCGGGATCGGCCGGACCGGAACGCCTGGCGAAGCCGTTGGACCTGGCGTTCCATGGCCGGGCTGAGGAGAACGCGGAGAGAGGCAGGTGAGGCAGCAAGATACCAGATGCTGCTCTGGATGACGCCACAGCTCACTGCTACTTTCCGCTGCTGCGTCCCATCAGCCTACTGGCCCAGACTTGGCCCCGGGGTGGGCCAAACCTCAGCGCTCCTCCGCTAACGACAAAGTGCGCACCCATTGGCTGGGCCTCCGCACGTGACTACGAGGCCACGCCCCTTACCAATAACCGAGCCTCCGGGTTGCTGTCCCTGGGTGGTGCGTCGTAGGCGCAGCTTTTGGCACGCAGAGGAGTTTGGGCTTCTGAAGAGCCGAGTGTCCTCTAGGAGGAGGAACTGAGGCCCAGGGGTGCCAACCAGGCCGGAAGCAGCCTCCCTTCGCCTGCGGCGCCTCAGATTCAGAGGCAAAATCGCTGGCTGTGGGTGGGGCGGGCCGGGTGACACACGTGAAGGAGGTAGATCCAGCATCTATACACACACAAACATTGTCATAGCACATACTGACTTTCTTTCTTTCTTTCTTTCTTTTTCTTTCTTTCTTTCTTTTTTTTTTTTTGTTGTTTTTTGTTTTTTCGAGACAGGGTTTCTCTGTGTAGTCCTGGTTGTCCTGGAACTATGTAGACCAGGCTGGCCTCGAACTCAGAAATCCGCCTGCCTCTGCCTCCCAAGTGCTGGGATTAAAGGCGTGTGCCACCACTGCCTGACTATACTGATTTTCAATCCTCTATACTGCGTATCATCCGAGGTTTCTAGAGATTTCCTCTCCAGACTAATTAGCAATGGTTGGCATCCGGACCCATCTGGGGATGCTGGTCAGATGGCAGTCACTAGTGTTGTTTTTCCCATCTTCTGGAAACAGTTCCGTTTCCCTCCCTGGGCGTTCACTAAGTTTTCCTTCTCTGGATTCTCTCCCTTTTCTGACCTATTAAAGTGTTCAAATGTCTGGGATTAAGTTCTCTCTGCTCAGTCACTCATCTGATTCTACCAGCAGTAAGCAAAGAAGGCACTCACCCAACCTTTCCTTAGACTCCCAAGGACACATTTAAATGCCGATTTCTATTTACACTTATAATGGACATCTTATAGTTAACTTTACTAGAATTTTTGATTATTCTTCACCAAACAACTCATACTTCCTGTAGTGTTCCCTGTCTCTTTGACCTTATCTTCAGAATATATGTTGAATCCAATAATTAATGGTTCAACCCATAATATTTATCTACTACATATAGCAATAACATCCTAGTGGTCTCCTTAGTTGATTGGAGACTATTGATCTATTACTTCTTAGCTCTCTACTCACCATTTTATACTCTGTACTTCAGGGGCCCAGAGTACTTTCCCCTCCCTCCTTGACCTCCCAGGAAGTTCTGCTAGAGAAAGGATGAAGGAAGGAACAAAGGAATGAAGGAAGGACGGACTACCAGGAAACTAAAAATGTCTGTTTTTCCACGGATTCAGTAGTATAGCATGTGCTGGCATTTTTATCGTGGAAGGAGAGATAAGTTTATTCCTGCCTCTAGGAATTTCTTGAACAAAGTGGCTCCTAGGGTAGACGGAGGATGACAGTCACGGTATCTCCAAATGTCACATATGCAGTACTGCCAAGAGTTCCAACTGAGAATCATTTGAAGAGTTTCTGATCTTTGAGACTACCCCATGCTTCCTTCTGGTGCTTCTTACTCCTGAAACCCCTCTTGCATGAAGTAACTGGGTGGGTTTCTCTTTCCTGGGTAGGTTTGACTAGTTCCCATTCAGCTGTCACTTTCAGAATGCACAATTTATTCCTCGCTCAAAACTCTCCAGAGAAAAAATTCAAAGCCTGTATAATCCTCTATAAGTCCTATATGTCTTGACCTCAGGATGTGCCTCTTCTTGTAGGATTTGCCCACGTAATGAGTTTTAGCCAGAGCGGCTTCCTTGCTGTTCACTGAGCACTTAGATACATTCCTATCCCGGGGCTTTTTGCACTCTGTGTTTTTTGTCTTGAGTATCCAGCCAACTTTCTCAATTTTGTAGCTTTCACAATAGCCTGTGAGCTGAGGCTTATCTGAGGCGCTTCTTGGTGAAGCAAGACAATTGGCAAGGCCATCCCACCCTTCACCTCTGCTTCGCCCTTGCTAAACCAAATCAAAATAAGCAGCACAGCATTCTGTTTGAAGGTTTCATGGTTGAAGCCAGTAGATTGCAGCTGAGACAGTATAAGAGGAGCAGGCTTCTAATGTTACAAAACAAATCAGGACCCTGCACGAACTCTCAAACTCAGAATCAGCCGTGCGGAGCAAGCCAGCTGCCGAAGGTCAGTATCTAGCACTGTGTAGCAATGTTTAAATTAGCTCGAAGTTCATCTTAGGAGTGTGCTTGGTTATCTTTTTTTTATCTGATCTGAGAGTGACCAATTTTAAACTCTTGAGTTAATAAGCATTAAAAGGGTTGATTTCCACATTGAGCATGAGTTATATAAGATGAGTTGAGGCCTGTATTGTGCTGTGAACTAAGAAATATAAGTCACAGTGTGAGCCAGAACAGGAATCCATATTATCTAAGGCAAGTTGATTAGAGTGTCCAACAAGCTACTTTTCTTCCTGAGAATGAAACTGAGGATTTCCTTAAGAATATACCAGCACGGTGAAGAACACCTTTAATCCCAGTACTTGGGAGGCAGAGGCAAGTGGATCCATGATTTCAAGGCCAGCCTGGTTTACATAGAGAGTTCCAGGGCAGCCAATGTTATGTAGTTAGACCGTGTCCCAGAGAACAAAGACTATTGTGCATAATCACTGGAAGTTTGACTCTTCATTGTCTCTTGAATATTTTCCTTATTGGAGAAATCAACTATCTTGGGGTCTTTATTACAGTGATAAAACACTGTGACCAAAGGCAACTTGGGGAGGATAGGGTTGATTTCTGCTTACAATTCCACATCACAGTGTGTCAGTGAGGAAAGTCAGGACAGGAACTCAAACAAGGCAGGAAGCTAGAGGCAGAAACTGTTGTAGAGGTCATGAAGGAGTGTTGCTTCCAGGCTTGTTCCTCATGGCTCCTCAGCCTGCCTTTTTATAGCATCCAGGAGAGTGACACCGACCACACTGAGCCAGGTCTCCCTCAGAGCCTCTTCAGGATGGAAATCTATCCTGAGTACAGCAATTACTTCAACCTGGGTCCCGTTTACTGCTTCTCAATGAGCGAACACTGAATTGCTTCTATCGTATTTTACTTTTGTAAATGCTTCTCTTTTGAAAAAATAATGAAGTGAGCACCCATGTTTATGAATGAAGTGAGCACCCCATGTTTATGAATGACAACACTTCTGGGCTCCTCAGGAGCAATCATAGTGTATAAGCTGTAACTGTCTCTACACTGCAGAAATTGTTCCAATTTTGTTTAATTTGTGGGAGTGAATATGAGACCATCAGTCTAACATAAAAAATACATCTCCTGTGTTGGTTTAAAGGCCCCATTTGTTTACTACTTATGCACCCACTGGCTGCTTTTTCTACCTCAGTTTGCCCCTGCATCGTTAAAAGCACAGTGTGTTTTATGTCTGGAATCCGTAGGCTCTGGACCTTGGAGGCACAATCATTATAAACAAAGCATCAGGATTCTGGCCTGTATGAGCCTCTGTGAATTGAATTGTGAGCTCTCTGGTGTGTCAAACTAGCATTGAGATGGAAGGGTGGTTACCAGGAGAAGTGTTTATTTAAATTTTTTCAAGATATGGTATCCATGTAGCCCTTGCTGTCCTGGAACTCACTCTGTAGACGAGGCTGGCCTGGAACTCACAGAAATCTGCCTACCTCTGGAATTGGAGTCCTGGAATTAAAGGTGTGCACCACCACACCCAGTTTAGAACAGGGATCTTAATAAAGAGACATGAAATTGAGATTGTGTGCATAAACTTTTACCTCTTAACCTTTGATCATCTTTTCTGTTTCAAAACCCTTTGAGCTCGCCTAATCAAAACAGATTATTTTCTTATCTTCAATTTGATTTATTCAGAGACTAAATCATGTGGCAGATTACATTGACTGTAGCAGACTCACTGTATGACGGTACCATTAACCTTTAAACATCAATTTCTAGACCAGTGAACAAAGAGGAAGATCCCACTGAAGGCAACTTACTCAGCTCCTTATACCTACTCTTCCAACCCATACCTACCTGGCTTTCCACAAAACAAGTCTTAAGGCATGCTATAACCAAGAGCACAGTTTGAAGACAGCATGAACACCAGAAACAGATTTAAATACAGCAGAGGCTATGGAACTGTCAGACTGGAAATTTAAAATAACTGATTAGCACGCTGAGAGGATAACATTAAAACATTATATTACATATGAGTAAGGTAAACATACAGATGAAGACATTTAAAGATCTATTTCTATTTTTAATTATATACATATGTGTGTGTGTGTGTGTGTGTGTGTGTTTCTCTGCATGTCTAAATGTACATGTACGTGTACTCAACCCACAGAGGCCAGAAAGTATCAGACCCCTTGGACCTGGAGTTACAGGTAATTGTGAGCTACTGGAGATGGGTGCCAGGAACCAAACTTAGGTCCTATGCAGGAGCAATATGCACTCTCAGCTATTTAGCCGTCTCTCCAACCCCCCAGATGAAAGCAACGAGGAGCTGGCTGTGACAACACCAGGAATTGGAAGACTAAAGCAGAAAGATTGTGAGTTGGAGGACAGCCTAGGATACATAATGACACCCTGTCTCAAAACAGAAAAAAAAATTTTTAAATATGTTTGATTCTTTAATAGATTGGACCTAGTTGAGAAAGGAATAATGTTAAGCCATTGTTAGCAGATTCCCCCAAGGAAAAGTACAGAATGGAAGAACAGGAAATAAGAAGGACATAGCAGCGACAGACACAGTGGCATGTGCATACAGCACCTGGCTCAGTGGCCAGTGGCATGTGCCTGCAGCACTTACACTTCACCGAGACATTCACAAAAAAGAAAAAGAACATTTGCTAGCAAACTACATAAGTAAAGAACAAGGTATCTGTTAGTAGGATTGCTTCATGCTTCTTACTGAGAAGAAAAGAGTGTACACTGGAAATGTAGATTCACAAAGTGAGACAAGATAGGAAGACAAAGAAGAGAGAGACTGGTGTGGGGTCCCAGCCCCAGTACTAGGAAGAGAGAAAGGTTGCAATAGGCTGG